ATTTATAACATGTATAAAATTTATAACAACATTTATAACAATATGACAGAAATATATTTAGGGCGAAAAATTTTGTTATTAGTATTTATAAATTATCTGCCCAAAAAGAGGAAATTTATATGTATAAATTTGGAGTTTTCATTTTTAAAAATATATAACACATCTAAATAAATAAATGCCACAACTTATAAATTGTAATTCAATATAGTATATATAATTACAACATATTTTCTATAAGAATCTTTCGATTAAAATACCTGCGCTTCTATTAAATTCACGCGTTTGTACGCGTCCGCTACGCTGCACGGTTCGCGCGAAACTGATCACGTGATCAGATTAGTACACCCCCCACATCTATTAGGGTGCGCGGTTCACGCGCGACTGATTCTATGCGGAATATCGCGAGCGCGGGACCGATGGTCATGTGACCACTGATCACATGACCGCTGGTCACATGACCACTGGTCATGTGACCATCGGGCCCGCGCTTGCGATACCTCGAACGAGAATCAGTTACGCGCGAACTGCGCAGCGTGATGGATATATAGGGTGTAGAGTTTTGCCCGAATTTAATTAAAGCGTAGATATTTGATCACAAAAGATTTTTGTAGAAAATTTTATTTCTTTGTTCGTATTTTCTGTTAAAGATTTAAATATTGTATTTTTTGCGTTACATAATTAATTAATATAAGAAAGCAATTAATATAACACACAATATTAATCGAGACAACCAATTGCGGAAAAGTAGTAATAATATTTGCGATAATCGATTTTGCATGCCTTTTTTAGAAAGGGATATTATTTAATGTATATTATTAAATTAAAAAAATTAATTTAAAAAGATATTTACATATACATATGTATTACGTACGTTTTTATTAAATTTCCGATAGCATTAATAACATTAAAGCTTAATCTTTTGTATTCGTGGGCCAATTATTTTGAAATTGTCTTAAAGCACGATAAACAACTAATATTTTCAATGCATGTACACAATATCTACAAAAATAAACTTTACAAAAGATTTTTTCATATTTTATTTTTCAATTGTTTTTATCACAATATGTGAAATATTGTTTAAGTGGTGATTGCCTCGAATAGGCAATATAATATCAATCAATAAAACATTCGAATTCAAAGGATTTAATATCGAATTTTCATGTCCAATAATACTGAGTTCTTGATTCTTTGAAGTTAATTACGGGATATATGTATATATATATATATAGCATCCCACGAGTTCGTCCCAGAAACTTTCAATATTGTTTTCTATCAGTGTACGAATCCCTCCTTTAAACACAGCCCTTGCGTATACAATTAGTCGCGATCGCCCGCGGGAGCTCCGATTACGCCGACGGGAATAATTAGTTTTAATTGACCCGCCTGAAACTTATCCCGCTCCCCATTGACGTATTAAGGCCAAAGTTATACGGCCCGCCAGGAGCAGGTTTAGGTTTTGCGAAAGCAAGCTCGCGCGCGGGCAGGCAGGTAAGGTATACACGTACTACGTGACACGGTTGGTAAACCAGAAGCTGCCTTTGTTAAGCTCGGATTCTGAGTGCCTTTGATACGTGTACTTGCACGCTAACTAACCAACCTAAGCTATCCATAGTGGTTGCCGGTACGTGGCTGTGCGCGACATATACAGGGTGTTTTTCATCAAATGTGAGCTCTCGACTGAAAGAGAAACTCTTCAACGGGGTTTAGAGTTTGTTTCTAGAGAATAAAAAAAAAATTGACAGAATTTGAGAGATTTTTCTTCAACAAATTTTTACAATTAAATTACATTCTTCTGAAAATTGTCTAAAGAATTAGGAAGAACGGAATTTGTTGAGAGAAAAACACTTCTAATAAGTATTTATTTTGTTTATCTCATCTGGCGCGTTGAATGTTGAGCCAGATTAAATATTAAAGTTATCCCTATGTGTCATGATTTTTTTCGGCACTCCTCATGAACAGACGACTGCACAAGTATGAGTTATACGAGCACGATAGGTATATATCCAATTGAGAATTGAATTTCCTCGGTAATTTTAATGCCATTGTAGACCATCGTGGAGGGGAAGAAGCTACAACACAGAGGAGAAACTAATATACAGCCACCAGCTGTGCATTCCTAACCGCTTCGTAGATGCGAAATTTAGTTGCAGACGAAACATGACACCATTGCCACCCTCTTCATTCCTCCTGTGTACATAGATCTCGGCTTGAAGTAATTATACATGGTCCCATTTGACATTCCTCTCTTGGAAGATGAAAGAGTGCACAAAAGAAAAAAGCTCTTGTTGATATACAAGTTATATAATTCTTTATTACATCTTTTCTTTAATTTGATTGTAATACGTTCCAATTATCTCTAATTGTACAGATATATTACACTGATCGATAAAACAAAACTTTTGTTTAGTTATCCAACATGTTTGAATAAATTTAGGGTATGCTAAATCCAAAAATAACTACAGAGCCAATTTTGCCAAATTAAATTACTAAACCTTATGCATATATTAGCAGACATATTGGGGTAAAATATCGTAATTTGAGACTTTATCCGAATTTCTCTCCAAAACTAGATATTTCTATTTTGCCAAATTGACTCTAGTTTTGGAGAGAAATTCGGATAAAATCTCAAATTACGATATTTTACCCCAATATGTCTGCTAATATATGCATAAGATTTAGTCTGTTTTTTTGTTCTTTAACATTGTTATTATTATCTCCAACGTGATCCTGACGACCCACATAAAAGAAAATCGAACAATAAGATCAGTGTTACTTAAAAATTAAAGAGCTTTATATATTTTTATTTTTTAAAACTATACTTAATATATTTCTTGGCTAATTTAATTATTAATATTTTCAAGAACATTCAATTCCGAAACATTATATCAAGAAAAGAAAGATGAAACAATCTCGATGATATCTAGATCATTGAAATTTTTGCAACTTTTCCGCGCAGGCTACAAGAAGGGGATGATTCGATGGCGACTCCATTTTCGCGCGTAAATCGAGATCGGGTCGATGGTGCTTTATTTCCGATACTTAAGTCGAGCCCGCGAAAAGCCGTCGGATACAAAGCCAAAGCGCCATAACCACTTAAGGGAGCTTTCGCTTAAGGGAGGCTCATGGGATAGAATCTGCGTCTCGTGGAGTATAGTGTAGCATATAAGCGGATTTAAGACGCTCCGTTATATCTTTATAAATGGAACTACTCGGGCTCGCGCGTGGAAACGTCGGCGCCGTGCTCCATATCGCTCAGGGGATTTGCAAAATTACGTCTTTGTTATCCGCGTCGCGCTTCCAAAGAAAAATCTCGAGAAAAATCGTCGGCCTTTGAGCCGCCAGATCGACGCGTAGATCGCGGATTGCTTGACGATTGATGATGTTGGTGTATAACTGCAACGATGGGATGCCATTGAGATACTCTAATTGCGCAATAATTAATAAAGTTAATTAACGTGCATAAAGGTTTAAAAAATGCATCCAGTTTGTTCACCTAAGTGTGATTGAAAAACAAATTATTTCTTGTATTATAATACTAGACAACATAAGCGCGCGACATTGTCTGATTTCGTTTATTGATTTTATTTAATTTTATTTTGAACAACTGTCAAATTATTAACCCTCACAATGATAGCCGCTCAATACTAATATAATGCAAATCGAGAACTTATATTAGCATTGTGGAAAAGCGATAACAATAAAGTTCGAGATATGCGAGTATCGACTTTTTTAGAAATTGATATCTTCAATATCATCTACCATATATCTTCAATATTTGCTTCAATATCTTTTACATATCTTCTTCTATGTCTTTACACCAGGTAGCAAGTGTATGTCATTTTAACGTTGAATGACGTCATTGTTAAATGTCAAAATGATGTTATTTTTTATGTCTAATAATGACATCAGTTTGCTATTTAGGTATTTTCTATATCTTATATATGTATATTTCTAATATATATTCTTGTAATATTATTACATTTAAGATATTTATATTTATTTTCTAAATAAAACATATGCAACGCGATATTATAAAACATTTATTCTTATTATAATATATAGGAAGACTGAAAAAATTAGCATACATATATCTTTATATCGATAACAAAATATATAGTATAGTGATTTAGTAAAATATAAAGATAAAGTAAAAAATGCGTTCGCGTGATTGGATTATCCTTTAGATAAAAATATGTAAAATTCATCTTAGATAAGATAAAGATGATTTTGTTTTAAATATATCTATAGATAAAAAATAAAATTATATGGCAATTTATCTAGATAATTGTCTAAATAATAATTTTTAAGACTGCTTATGTAAACGCAGTTATAAAAAAAATGTAAATTATAAAAGGGATGTAAAAAATATATGTATTTATATTTTTATTTATAAATTTTATTGCTTACCATGTTTAAGTTCGACTATTTATTAAGTATATTTTTATGTGCTATCATTCTAAACCAAAATTATTTGAAAATTTTTCTAGATAATTTAGTAAACACTTGCTATTGAAATATATATATCATATTTTATTTATGTTGATAAATCATTTATTATTTACAAATAGTGTCTAAATGTAAAGCTAATATACTTTTTTCATCTAATTGTAATAGAGATAATATATATATATATATATATATATATATATTATATATATATATATTATCTATATAAATAAGATAAAATGTCGACAAAATTTTATCTAGATAATTATCGCTATATAATTTTATTTAGATAACAGCCAACATTATTTACTTGTGGCTTATATTCTAATATAAGTATAATATATATATAAACAATCAAAAATTCATATATAGACTGTGACGTCTAATGACTGTCTAATGACGTCATTTTGACATTTAATGACGTCAATTTGCTACCTGGATAGGTGTAAATAGGGCATTTATAAAAAGAATTTGTAAAATTGTAACTGTATTATGGAATGGTGATAATTCAGAATCCTATTTCTTCGACTACAGGAATTGTTTCTCTCTGGTCCTATATATTTGATACTCTGTGTGAAGGGGGCACAACTTTCGCTGGCGTTTACAAGTTACATAACCTAAATAAATCTTGTAAGTTACCGGAATTAGGTGGTCGAGTTCTTATAAAACATAAAAAAAAATAAATATAAATTAAAATTAAGAATCAATAGCGATAAATAAATTTATTGGGCCTATAATATAATTAAACACTTGCTATTGAAATACGTGTGATAAATATATATATCAGATATTTTATTTATGTTGATAAATCATTTATTATTTACAAATAGTGTCTAAATGTAAATAAAAAATAATTTAATATAAATATTTGTAGCAATAGAAGGGAAACGAACGTAAGATTTGTCGTATAAGATATATGTATATTCTAACGTTTTGAGAGAGATTACACGTTTTATATATAATACATTATGTTGGATAAACCATCTGGCCCGGATAATCAATTATCCAAGGAAGAATATTTAATAATGAGAGCTAAAGAAGCGTTACCGATCGATATTTATGCTGCTAAATCGTGGCTAATTACTGCAAAATCTTTATTTCCGCATAGTGCAAAAGTCCAGGTCAGAGAAAAATATTTATTAATTTCTTTCTAAATTTGATCATTTTATCAATTCTTTCCTCCTTTTATTTTCCACAAACTAAATATATTAATATTTAATTAATAATAAATATATCTAATTTATGTACAGTAATATTTAATTTTTTATATTGTTTTTAGTTTGAGGCATATCGAATTGAGAAATTGTCAAAAAATGTAAAAGAAGCAGCAAAATGCTTCAGCGAAATGTAAGTATCATGATTACACTATGGGAAATTTATATATATACGATTTCTTTCATAATCTTAACTATATAAATATAGATTCCAAAATTTTCCGGACGATCGTGATATATGGAAAGAGATAGAAACAGTGACAACATGTCTTCGCTTGGAACAGTGTGATAGTGAAGCGGACTTTTTGTGCCAAATGTTTCAACATATTCCACAGGATTTGCAACATAGATTACTTGTGATGACAGCTGATCATAGTGAAGACACAATGGAGCATTGCAAATTATTACTTTTATTGCTACGCAGGTTTCCTCAAACCATAGCGACTCATGGAGTATGTACCTTTAAATATAAATTATTTTATTTAATCATAATAAATATGTTTATTTTAATTAATTAAAACAAACGATTTATTATTTAAAATATAAAAGAATAGTTTTATTTAATTAAAATATGTATGTATTTTTTTCAGATATTTTATTTAATTTATTATTTTTTAGCCACGTTTGGTGGAAACTCTCTTAACAGCGGAGAAACATAGCCATCCAGGTCGTGCGGTGAATGGTTTCAGAAGATTATTGGCATGCGATGCATTGCCATTGCTTGGTGCTGCTCCGGTGGAATTAAATCCTCGTCTTAGTTTAAGATTACTTTGTAAGGCCGTGGAATTTTACTTGGCGTATATACAACAACCGCAGGATGCGCAAATTCAAAATCCATGGGACAGACTTTTCCAAATTGTGGAATTGATAGGTCAGAAATTAGGATGGGAGTTGAGCAGTCTATTTTCTGTACCTTGGAATCGCGAAACGTACAGCGACAGACTGCAACAGTATGCCATTGCGCATAATACGGGCCTATGCGACGAGCTTATAGTCAGACAATTACTGATGTCTACAATTGTAATATTATTGAGAATACTGAACGAACATGCTACTCTTATTAATAATGACGAGACAATGTATTGTCTAGTGGAGGCATTTGGAGAAGGAATGCATTCTTCCGCAGGTAAAAAATATTTCACACTCGAGAATTATTTTTTATTTTTTAAGCTTATTTCTTATTAAACTCCGCAAATTCCAGAGCCGAAATTGAAGAAACGAAAACGAGAGGATAATACAGCTATAATAGTGACCAGTGATAGCGATTATAATGGCAACGGTTTAGCATTGGCGGTAAAATTATGGGATCTATTGCATAGCAGTGACTATCTTCAAAGAGAAATTGGCAAATTGAGTCAACAGTTACGACTAGATAACTGGTTGAATCCATTTTTAACGGATTTGGCAATGTACAAAGGTTTACATCATGAAGTATTAGCCAGATTATCGCAAGAAGGCGGTAATCTATCTGTTAATCTTCGTTTAGCCAGCACATGTTTCTTTTTGAGAGATTATAAGGTGCGATATCTTATAAACTTACAGTCACATATGATATATTTTTGTTTCCATATATGTCTTCTCTTTCTTTCTCTCTTCAAAGCTATTGAAAATAAATATCTCTTTAAATAATAAAATAATCTCTCTTTTAGGGAATGCTGGAACATATTGTTCTAGTTGCGAGTTTGTTACCCACTGTACCAGGCAAGGTATCTCACAATTTGACAGTTTCAAGCATAAGGCATTTACATTATCTGACTCTCGCACGTTTTCCTATTTTACAATACTGTTGCAAATTGCTTCTTTTAGCTATAAAGGTAAAAACTTCTTAATATATATGATTGCTGATGATCAGCGATAGTATACAACTGATTATGCTTTTAGGAAAACTTTTCTTTACTCGGAAGTGTCGGAGACTTGGCTATTGGACACGCATTGGTCTTAATACAGATAGATTGGCCACAAGAAGCTAGTACGCTGACTGCAATAACAGAGAGAATTCTTAATCGCGGAAGTTTTGCTTATCCATTATTCCAAACGTATATAATATGTGTGGATATTTTAGAAGAATTAACATACTTATGGACCGAACATGGTGGAGGAGTGTCATTGGACATAACTACAGGCGTTGGAGTTTTACAAAGTACATTTTTGCTTTCTCGTAGAGGAAATTGTTTTTGCGGGGGAAAAATACATATGTGCATATACACATACATACATACATACACATATACATACATGTACGTGACAAAAAAATGTTATTTTATGTAAAAAATTTCCTAATTGCACATATTTTCCTTTGCGATATAATTTTACTACACGTGCAGATATTACGTCAAATCGATAATAAATTATAATTATACAAATTGTTATTACAAATAATTATAATTTCAGATCGCCGTATCACTACTCGCGGTGCTGATAAAGGAGTTCGCGAGGAGGTGAAACAAGCTATGCGTCGACAAGCCGCGCGGGATGGCATTGATCCATTAGACGAATTGTTGCAAAAATTCATAGTAAACGAAAAAGCCGCCATTTCACATAGTTTAATTATCTCGTAAACTTTGGATTTTTACTATTTGTATCGTTACTCGTGACATACAGTGAGAGAAAGTTTGTATATGAAATATTTTGTATATAAAACAATTGTTTTATTCAGTAACAATAAATGTGAATTTTTGCAAACTATTTATGAAGATTTTTTTATAGAATGATGTACAAAGATTTACAAAGTTAAAAGAACATGTTTTTGTTTATCGCATAAAACCATATAATTTATAAATATATAACTTATAAGTGAGATAAAATTTGGATGAGATATTTTAAAACAATTGTTTTATTTATATATTAATAAATGTAACATTTTTGCAAATAATTTATTGCAGATTTTTTATGAAACAATGTACAGATTTTTATAAAATTAAAAGAACATTGCTTTTATTTATCGCACAAAAATCCTAATTTACGTATAATTTACATGTATTAAACATCAAATGAAAATACAAATTTTGAGATTTATAAAAAAACAAGTGTTTAATTATAATTTCTCTCATAACAGATTTTAATATAATTATATACATATCATTATTAAAACGCTTTTCTTCATATCTTGCTTTGAAAATCTTTTATGTAGGTATCGTCTGTAAATATATTTCGTTAACTCCTTACATATATATATGTATTTATATAACAATAAAAGATAATTGATAATTAACGAAATTATATAAAATTACTCTGAATTCTAATAAAATATACAATTTTTAAAGGAAAATATGTAAAATATGATAGATAAATGATACGTAATTCAACGTTTGAATACCATTATGCTACAATGGTGTATACTAATTGTTATATAAAGTTAATGCAAATAATTATTTTGTTAAGGATATTTAGAATTATAAAAATTCATGAATATAATATGTAATATGCAATTAAATGATTCTATCTAATATAAACGCCTAATTGAAGGGCACTTAGAAGTAATACTTTAATCCCAGGCATAAAGGAAGCAATTTGACTAAAATCTGGTCCTGATACTAATTGCGTATGCAAATCTAATCCTCCTGTATAATTGCCATTTTGTATCATTTGTGATATTTGATGTAATCCTTGTAAAGTATTTTGAGACAACTGAAAAAAATACAATAATAAATTTGCATATAATGTATATATAATATATAATGTATAATATAATGTGAAAATAAATATAATGTAAAATTTTTTTACCTTATTCTCTCTAAGGCAATCGTACAACACTTCTAATTTTCTCGATACATCTTCTATCTTCCTTTTGATTTGCTAAAAAAAGTATTGTAAATTTAAATATCCGACATTAAACAGTAAATATATATATATATATATATATATATATATATATATATAAAATAATAAAGTAAAGAAATGTAAGTAAACTAATATAATTACTTTCTTGTTACATAAATATTATTTGCATATCTAATATAATGTATTAATTATTATATAATGTGTCAATTATTCTTACTGGATTCTTCGCATCTTCGTAACACTGATTTTTCAATTCATCCAATATCGTCTTCAGATGTATATGTTGCTCGGGAATAGGTGCTTTAGGTTTTTCTGGTTCCACCACTTTTGCAGGAGCAACAGGCATCGCAGGTTGTAATAATGGTTCAACTGGTTTGTTAATTGGTGCAGTATTCGATATGCCTTGTCCATATTGTTGTGTATTATAAGATGTGCGATGCTCTTGATAGAAATGATCTTGTGGTAATGGCTAAAGTAGTTGAGTCAAAAAAATATATTCCCATACAAATATATTATAAAAATATTATATATAAATATATACGTACGTATAAAAATATGTAATTATATTATATAACAATATATACAGTAAAATATATATGTATATTATATATATGTGTGTGTGTGTGTATAAATATATATACAAACTTACACTCGGTTCCAGTTGATTACTTCGCAATGGTTGCAAAATTGGATTTTGTGGTTGATATTCAGATTTCGACTAAAAAAAATATATATATATATATATATATACAAAAAATATTGATCATTTTTGAAAATTCTTTCTCATATCTTTCAGCCACTTTACAGTGGTGATTGACGCGTCTATGGCATCGTAAAAACAAACGAAAGCTTTCAATTCATCAAAATATATTTTGATGACTTAAAACGATGATATCAATAAAAAATGTACGAAAAAAATGGTTTACTCTTATTTAATTTATGATAAAATTTAGGTAAATTGTGTGTATGAATAAATAAAAATTGATATCTGTGACACTAAAATTTCAAAATTCGCAAAGCAGTTTGAACTCTTTGCACAACACATTTATTAGTTTTTTATATCACACGTATACAAGACGTCTCATTGTAAAAAATATGCTTAAATATATTTTTAAAAAATGCATTTTAGAAAATAATGTTTCAATCATTTCGCATAAACTACGTACATATAAAATATCTCGTAAAATATTCATTTTTTCATCACCTTATTTCAATATTTTTATGAGCAAAATAATGAAAGGAATCGATTGATGTAAAATCCACATAGTTATTTTTGAGAAAAAATATGTAGCTATTAATTGCAAATTGCATAATTTTTCTTAAAAACAACTATGCTTTCTTTGCACCAATTAATTTTTCTCTTTGTAAATTATTTATTTTTGGCCATCCCCTATCCTTACAGCTTTTTATGTTGAATTTTGCGAAAAATTGATTTATATAAAGAAATTAGTGACCATTTAAAAAAATTATTAGGTTGACTTTCAAATAACTGAATAGTCGAAACTCAAGATTATCAACTTCTATCCTTTTCAAAACCAAACAACTTTTAATTCGAAATATCGTTTTCTAAAATGCAATTATTTTTATACATTTAAATATATCTTTTAAAATAAGACACCTTGCATATAAAAATTTCACATTATAAAATTCGATTAGATTAATTCTATTAATAAACCATAGAAACACATGGATGACAAAATCACAACAAGGAGATGTGATATTCTATAATTATGAGACACTGTAACATTCTCAAAGTGCGAAACCAGTGCTACCTTAACATCTACACCCTTCGAATGCTTTGCCTTCCATTTTCTGGTACCTGCATGTTCCGCGGACATTTCTTTTGCGTTGCATAGTGCCAGTACTGGCTATATATAATTGTAATGCGTATATATGTATATGTACAATATTTTTACCAGTAATATATGTAACTTAAGGCTTCTGTCACTACCGCGGCCATGTTAGATTGTAACGTCAGAGGCGAGATCGCACACGCTAAAAATTCTTAGATGCTATTTTTAAATAAAAAATATTTTAATGGAAACATTATTTCAAACCGTTTTAACACACTTTTAAAATACCTCGAAAACCACTGTTTTTCCTTGACAATCAATTAACAGCCATATTCATCAAAATATCTTTTTATTTCAAAATAGCATCTAAAAATTTTTAGCGTATGTTTTCTCGCCTCTGACGTCATAATTCCAGCATGATCGGCGAGCTAGGATCCTTAAGAACGAAAAATAATAGGAGCTATTAATAAAGATTACATAAAAGGGTGTCTACTCGAATCCTGTAAAAAATTCTCCGAGTCGATAAAATTCCATTGAGAATTCTCGGATTTTTGAAGATAACAAATCTCTCTGACAATCCCTGGTTTTCCCTATTTTTTCCAGGGAGTAGACATCCTGTAAAACTGAATGCAGTTGGATAAATGAAACTTTACCTGTGCTTTGGAACTTTTCCCGATCGGCGGGTCATTCCATCCAGACTGTGGCGGCTGAGAGAACTGATATAAATTTCCGTTCCCCGTCTGCATTTGTGAAGGTGGCTGAGCAGCTCTGGTGGGGTCGTACATTTGAGCCTGAGGCGCGTTTTGCAACGGAGGCTGAATGATATTGGGTTGAAGCGGCTTGTATGGTTCGGCTTCCTTAGGATTGTTCATGAAACTCGACGGCTGACTGACATACGTGTTAGCGGGCATAGAACCTTGAGGTTGATACGCGTTCTGCATAGGATAACCGGGAACGGGAGTGATCTGTTGGGAATTGTACATCGGATTTGACGACGGAAAGCCGCCCTGGCTGTACGCAGGGGTGGATTTTACAGATGGATCAATCAGATACTTCGATCTCGACTGCGGACCGACGCTGGACGGTCTCGAGCCGCTCAAATTGGAACCCGACGGAGGTGGCGGTGGAGGTGGCTGAACAATTGGAGCCTGGTTATACGAATGCGACGACGTGGAATACTGATCGTAGATCGCAGGTTGCGTCTGAATAGGCTGAGGACCTCCTGGTGGCGGCATTCCATATAGCTGAGGGTTCTGAAGCGTCTGATTTGCAGGGGCTCCGTAAGTTTGCTTCAGCGGAGTCGTGTTCCAGTTCTGAACAGGTGTTGACGTCTGCTGTAACGGCTGTTGCAGCGGATTGTAAGCGTTTTGCAAAGTCTGCGCGGGTGTTGCTTGTTGGAACGGCTGTTGCAGAGGATTGTACGCGTTTTGCGGGTTCTGCGACGGAATGGTTCTTCCCGGAATGGTCTGTTCGTAGTAATAGTTTTGACCGGCGGGTCTTGCGACGCTCCTCTGCTCCTGCGTGTAACTCAGCGCCTTGCACAAACGATCCCTCAACATCGCAACTCTCTGCTCTTGACTGTTTCCGAGATAATTCAAGGCAGCTTCCAGATCGCCCTCCGTCGCCAACATTTCAGCGTACTGAGATAGCACGGAGGCGATTTTATCCTCTATATGAATTTCCCTGATACCCTGAAGCTCCAAAGCTTTCTGCATTATCACGACCAGTTCTACCACGTCTTGGGTGTCGGCGTTGGACACTTCAACCAACTTGTTCAAATTGCCGGAGCAAATGTAACAGATCTGCGCTTGCTTCTTAAGAGCGGGATTCTCGGAGGACATCAAACGATCGCCGAGCGTATCTGTTAGGTATAAGTTCACGTTGTAAGAAATATGATAAAAATAATGCGTTAAATTATATTTCATAATATATAAGATTTTATTTATATGCTTACCACATAGAGCAGATCGTTCCTGCATACTGGAATTTGTAAATATACCGACTAACGCCTCTTTCCAGCACTTTATGTCACAATTCTTGACAACTTCTCCCCAATTCTCGCTAACTAATGAATTGATGAGAGAATTTAATGCACTGGAATGCTCCGAAAAGTATCTGAACTGGGTACGCGCTAGTAGCTCAGGACCAGCGGCCATCGAAAGAATTACAGCGTCGGCGTACCTTTTACTAGAAAAGCACAAAGATACGGCGGCCTCAATATTTCCTAAGAGGATAGCTTGAGTGATAAGACCATCCTCATCTAAAAAACAAAAAAACCCAATCAAATCAATCATTAAACAATTTTTTTACTCTAACAGGATGCCTAATTCAAAAAAACTACATTCTTGATAACAAATTCTTTGTAATTGTAAAAATAAAAAACATTATATAACATTAATGTGTATAGAATAAAGAAACTATTTTAAAATGTTGCAATTTTCTAATTTTTTAGAATTTTAAACAAAAAACACTTGAAGATCAGAAGAATTTTTTACAAGATTTAAGTAGATACCCTGTATAAGGCTATTAGTATGTTGCTTACCATCAGAAGTATTTATAGTGTAATCTGCAGATTTGTTTAATGCTTGTTTTTTGCCTTGTTCCTGCGGAATGGCATCAAATACAGCACTATCGGCTATAACATTTCCATTCAGTATCTAAATCAAAATGAATAATGCATAATTAATATTAGAATAATAATAAAAGCATATACATGACATAAATATCAATCAGGTCTTACATTATTAAGATTAGAGACACCTTCTACAATATTGCTTATATCGTCCTGAGGTACAAACTGATTTAGTTTATTGTTCATTGTATCAATATTGTAGCCTAATAATTCCAATATACTCTTTGTCACATTGTCATCGAAGTAAGCACGCACACAACTCCAGATTTTCTTGGTGTGCTCATCCAGAGATTTTTCCATCTTTTCCTTGCAGAAATCGCTGTACTGTTCAGTCTCCAGCGTTGCTTTCAATTTGTTGGAACGTTGAATAAGACTTGGCTGTGTGATTACTTGTGATATAATAACTTTTCTGTTTAAATCTTCCTTTCTGTTTGCTAAATTTGGATCGGCAGGTCGATTTTCAAAGATTATCAATTTACCACCAAACTAAAAATTATATTTAACTTTTATCAGATAATTCTTTTATTCCACATAAATGTTTTTAATGTAACAGATAAGACAATAAATATATATAATAAAGCAAAGTTAAAAACTCACTCCAAACGATGCTCCAATCGGCCTTTTTAACCATTTGGGAGCTTTTATTAATACTGCTGTCGTTCTTGCTTGTGCTGTAGATTGGGTGAAGGGATCCATTCCTGGGAATGAATCCATTATCTTGTTAGATTCAGTTTCTTGTTGTTGTCCACCTAGTAAAGAGTAGACAATGACATGACCGTCAAAGCTACTGCCAACAATTAATCCTGGATTTCTTGGACACCAAGATACATCAAAGTTCCACTGCGGTGTTTGGGCTACTTCACATATCACCTCACCGTTCTATCATTACAAAATATATTAATGAGTTCGACAAATTTTTCTTTAAATATTAAAAAAGACAATGCATGCACAATACCGGTGCGTTTGAATTGGGATTCCAGCACAGAATTCTGTTATCTTTGGCACAACTCAAAAGTAAGTCTGAATCATGCAGATTCCATGCAATTGAAAGAACACCACGCTGATGACTTTGCAGTGTTTTCAAAGGTGACGTTGGAAACCTCACGTCCCATAATTCAATAATAGGTGTTTGATCATCCTGGGATGCTAAGCATAATTGTGTTCCAATATCTGGATGCCACTGAGCAACTTTCCAACGTACCTGTAGCAGCAAAAAACATTAACAGTTATTTAAAAATTTTTCCTTTAAAAAAGAAAACATTCATGTATCGTATTAAGATAGAACAAATTGTATACCCTCGAATTCGTATCTGTCAATTTAAATATCGGTTTCTTTTCTTTCACATTCCATATAATGCAATATTGTGAAAATGTGGAGGCAAGAATATCTTTTAAATGTACTATAACATAAAATAAGAATATAATTATCAAGATTTGCAATTGAAATACATATTCTTGGTATCAACGTGCAATTTCTTTTATAATAATCTAATAGAAGAACCTTGCTTGTTCCAAGCAATGTGTTGGACTTCCTCTGATTGCTGACTTCTGGACAGAGTTGTAGATGTGTTTGTGTTAATATCCCAGATATAAATCTCACTTTCCGTCGCACCTGTAGCTAATTGATTTTCATCTCGAAAAGGATTAAAATCCATCGCTCTAACAGGACCAGAATGTCGATGAGGACTATTTATCAGGCAATTACTTTCTCTGGCTAATAACTTAGCAGCAGAATAAATTTTTATAGTGCCATCCTCGCAACCTCCAACAATTACGCCTGGATTATTACCAAAAGGACCCCAAGTGATTTTATGAAACCTGGATCAATAATAAATAGGAGAATATATGCAACAACTAATAAAATAACAGAATTAATTTAATGATACAACTGTAATCTATGATCGTTACTGACCTGTGATCACTGGGTACACTGACTTGGAGTTCCATTTCGTATCCAGGTTGTTGTAAATTCAGCGAATACAAATCTAAGCTGGCAGATGTACTGAAACTTGCATCTAGCTGCTGTGCTGCTGTGCCAGCTGCCAGCATGATGGGATGCTGGGCTGGCGGAGACCATGCTACATTCACGGTCTTCAGTAGTTCCTTGACTTTCATCTGTACACACAAAAATGAGACTTTAAAATCTGCCATTATAGTGTACAATCTTGCATTAATTTGCGAAATGTCTTATCATATAAGGCGAGAAGAAAATGTCATTCAATAGTTATTGATAAAAAAATAAGGTATACTGAGACTTAAATAATAGGCGTCGATCGCATAATTCGGCGAATTATGTCAAAAAATGTTAGCCGTCATCGGATGAAGAATGAAATAAATCGGGAAGAGAATGATTTATCGCGTTTTCTTGCAAATGTATTCCACGCGGTGATAAGGAAGTCGGTGTCTCACCTTGACAGTATTATTTTTGGGCGGCTGTAAATAGAGAGAGACTTTAAAATAAAACACAGAGACTTATACACGTCTCTCTTTCGGTTTATAACGGCCTGTGTCAAGTCTTCCAACGTGGCGATGAGCGTACGCGAACGAACAGACGATGCTGTCGTCCTCTCTCGGTGCCGTGACGTATTATGTCATCCTTTTTTTTTTTGTTGCGTCGGCTGTCAGCTGTCGCCACAAATGGCGTCAGGAGCTTCCTGCGTCTTTCCTTCTGATCTGACAGAGCATTATTTCCAAGACTAGCGGAGGTAATTATTCCGTAATTATTCGCGTACGTGATTTTGCTAAATGTTGCGATTTTGTCGTTTTGTTAATAAAGTGTTTATTGAAAGATGTATAGGAGATACAATCGGAGACCAAAACACCAATGTTATTAATCTTATAGAAAATTGTGCATCTTATATAGAAAATCGGTAAGTTTAATTTCTTAACTTTCAGCAGTTTTAGCGTTGACACAAGCGAATGCTCATTAATCGAAAAAAAGTCACAATTTCAACAAATTTTTTTTTTCCTAAATGGTTTAGTGAATGTAATTTTGCAACATTGTCTCTTTTAATTATATATGTAAAAAATTTGAAATACATGATATATGTATTTTTTTTATATATCTATAACATAACGGTAACGTAATCGATCATAGTAATAAATTTTCATAAGATTATATGTAAAACTAGTGGAATTTAACATATACTTTTATTTAAAAGTGTGTTACAATATCTTGTTTTTATATTGTTTGTTTAAATATCCAATAATTGATATGTAAGTTTGCAATATTACATTCATATTGTAGTACATTTTATAATTTTTAAAATTTTTATATTTTTCTATTTATAGATTTATATGTGTGTGTGAAAATTATTAAATTAATGTATATTGCTTTTTTTTTAATTTAAAATCTGCTGAATTATTTGTTATGATTCTAGAAAGTAATTTTATATATATATATATATATATATATATATAATTATATAACACAATATTATAATATTTTCATTACATTTAATTTATATTAAAATTTATTATCCAAATTATATTCAATTTATGTTTAGAAGTAAATATCACAGTTTAATTATTTTGTAGTTTTTTAGTAATTATATTCACCTAAAAAAACTTTTTATTATTTGTATTGCATTAATATAAGATATATCAAATTATACATTTAATATAGAAAATGTTTAACAAATATGACTAGAAAATTAATTTTGAAAAAAATTATAAAATATCTATTATAGTCAAAATAATAACAATCAATCTTTCTTTCAGAGTTTATTTATGAAAAAGTCTTGGAATCTTTCTTTTTGTCGCAATGACCCGACCTGCTGATTTCGAGAAACTCGCGCGATAACAGAGGCCAGATACGTGCGATAATTTGAAATAGATTAAATGAAGTAAAATGTGAAGTGAGACTTCCCAAAGCTTTGATCTCAGTGTACGAATGGACTCTATGCCAACGCACATCGAGGAAACGAACTATAATTGATAGCATGGATTGAAGAGTAACATGATGTGGCTCAGATTGAGACCTCGTCGTCTGTCGACGATTATTTTCACGATTGTTATATTCGTGAGCGTATTTTTTATTTGGTCCATAAGTCAAGGCAGAAGCAGAACCGACGGACAAGATGACTTCATCTTATTACGGTATAAATTTTTATTTAATTATAGTATTTAACTCGATTTACAAGAATGCTGTTAATTAAATTTGCAATGATTAAAAAATTATTATTACAGATCACATGAAAATCAAAAAGATTACATAGATCGTCGAGGAATTCATGTAGTAGTCGGTCATTACATAGGAGATTCTATAGATTCCTTGAAAACTCCGAACATTACGAAAGGTAAGGGATGCAATTATATTATAAATATTGTATGATCAGAGAGAGAAATAGTATATATTATTCTTTATTTTTACAGAAATTGTAAATAAAAATTTATTTGATCCAAAACCATTTGAAGGTAAAAATGGAGAACCTGTAATAATACATCCGAAGGATTTTTATAAGATGCAGCAATTATACCAGATTAATCGCTTTAATTTAATGGCTAGTGATAGGATACCATTAAATCGATCTCTGCCAGACGTTAGAAAAAAAAAGTAAGAGTTCTACTTTGCTTATAAAACTTTTTTTTATCTCTATTTTCGATATTTAATCAATAAGATGTTTCAAGTAGTTTATTTTAAAAATTTGTAGATGCATTTCAAGATATGCAAACTTAGGCGATCTGCCAAAAACATCGATTATTATAGTATTTCATAATGAAGCTTGGAGTACTTTATTACGGACAGTACATAGCGTCATTAACAGATCGCCAAGAGAATTGTTAGAAGAAATTATTCTTGTTGATGATAACAGTGAAAGAGGCAAGTGTAATAATTTTATTATATCATAAAACTAATATATATTTATTATTAATTTTATTTAATTATTTATATTAAACATTTTTTTATATTATTATATATTATTTATTGCTAGAATTCTTGAAAAATGCCTTGGATGATTACATAAAAACTTTAAGTGTTCCTACAAGAGTTTTGCGATCCAATGAACGGGTGGGATTAATTAAAGCGAGACTTTTGGGCGCAAACAATGCTAAAGGCGAAGTTCTTACTTTTCTCGATGCTCACTGTGAATGTACGGTTGGTAGGTAAGCTTCATTATATTATACCAATATCAGAAACAAAATTTTCGCGATACTATATACAGTATCGATATTATAATATTTTTTAGGATGGTTGGAACCGTTGCTCGAAGCAGTTGGTAAAAACGCAACAAGAGTCGTTTCTCCAGTAATTGACATAATAAATGATGATACTTTCAGTTATACAAGGTAAATTATTTATAGAAGCCAACAGTTAAAAATGAAATTTTGTGTCGATATTTATTTAATTTCTTGGTATCACACCAAGGAAAGTTAATGCCTTTTACACAACGAATAAGTTTAAACGAACAATTAATTCTTTCTTGAAACTGATAAACTACTATTTTTTTACTAGTTTTTTATTTATATATTTTTAATAAAATATATTCTAATTAATAATTTTTTTAATTAATAATTTTTAGATCGTTTGAGCTTCATTGGGGTGCGTTCAACTGGGATTTACATTTTCGTTGGCTAACATTGAACGGCCGTCTGTTGAAAGAAAGACGCGACAACATAGTCGAACCTTTTCGAACGCCCGCAATGGCGGGTGGATTATTTTCTATGAACAAGGATTACTTCTTCAAATTGGGCAGTTACGACGACGAGATGCGAATCTGGGGCGGCGAGAATTTGGAATTGTCCTTTCGAACTTGGCAATGCGGTGGCAGCATCGAGATCGCTCCCTGCTCCCATGTTGGGCATCTCTTTCGAAAGTCTTCCCCTTATACTTTCCCGGGCGGGGTCGGTGATATTTTATACGGTAACCTCGCCAGAGTCGCTTTAGTATGGATGGATCAATGGGCGGAGTTTTACTTCAAGTTCAATCCGGGTAAATAAAATTATTCTGGTAATACACGATTTGGATATAAAGTTTTAGGATAAAACAGATATATGGTAGTCTTATATTTTCTGAAAAAAATCGGGGATTGTCAGGGATTTTTTTATCTTGAAATTTTTACTGTTTTTATCTTCTATTGATTGAGAGATAGTTACCTTTCATTTTAATAAATTCTTATATCACACGTTTTTATTTAGAGGCAGCCAGATTGAGATACAAGCAGCAGATTCGTTCAAGATTAGCTCTACGCGAGAGACTGCAGTGCAAAAGTTTCGAATGGTACTTGGAGAATGTGTGGCCCGAACACTTCTTTCCTACGAATGATCGATTCTTTGGCAAGGTAATGCTAATATTTTTTCAAATACAGCCTTCCCTCTTTATATATCGAAAGTACTATTTGGTTACTCATGTATAATTATTTTATTTGTGTTAGATAGTGCACGCTGCAACAAAGAAGTGCATTATGCGACCGACTGCGAAAGGTACATATACGCAACCTTCGGGGAATGCGATTCTGCACTCGTGCATACCGCGACCGATACTTGGCCAGATGTTTGTGATGACCAAAAACGGAGTGATAATGACGGACGAAAGTGTGTGTCTGGATGCACCAGAACGAGATACACAGCAGAAAACGCCGAAAGTGAAAATAATGGCGTGCAGCGGTCGGGAAAGGCAAAAATGGCAATACAATGAACAAGTAGAGTATCTTTCAGATGAATTATTAGCTATAGCAACATCTTCCTTTAACGGGGATTATGTATTACCAATGTATGCTTATTTTTTTAGACGAAAGTATTTTTACACGTGCCTTCTGAGATGTGCCTTCAGGCAACAGCGGAGGATGATACGCTCGTAATAGCGGCTTGTACTAAGAATCCTGATCAACAATGGATTTTGGAACCAGTTCTTTGGAAATAATAATTAATAGTGTTACTATGTTATTAAGAAAGATGATAGGAGAAGATAGTGCGTTAATGCACTATCAGTATGTCAGCGACATACTTTTAATGTGCACTTTTATTGTGACACCTAGATTTGCATTCTGCACGACAGTATACATATATGGTTGTAATTTTGATGAAACATTAATATTTTTGTACTTTTATATTTTTTGACGAATTTACAGACAATTATTTTTGTTCCATAACAACATTTGAAATGTGCAATAAAAATATTAATAATGAGATATTATTTATCATTTGTTTCAATTTTTCTTTTCCTATAGCCTTTAAGTGTGAATCTTTTTATATTACAATTTTGATTGTTTTTTTATTATACCTATATTCTATATTTCCATTGGCGGATTTTAAAGGTAGGTTTTAGGGTTAAATCCTTCCTCATATATGATTTAATAAACCATAAAATTCAAAAAGAAATATCTTCTGATATATAAAAATATGTATAAAAAGATAAAAGCTAACTGGATTGGATAAAAAGTAATGTCGTATTTTTAACTCAAAATTGGGGAGTAAATTTATTCTTATTCATAAAAACAACTTCAATCAGTAATGTAATGGCCGTCGTTTTCTATAACTTTTTGCTATATCTTTTGAGCAGCGGTATAATTTCTCGTGCGTAAAAAACTCGGGCGTTTTCTCAACTAAGAACTGCTGAAGATGATTTTTACAGTCCTCCAAAGAAGTGAACATCTCTTGCTATTAAAGAAGTTTTGCAAGAATCGAAAGTAGTATTCCAAAGAAACAAAATGTCTGGTGAATTTGTTAATAAGTGCGATAGAATGACTCAATTTAATTGCAATATTTTTTGTCCGTGTGATCAAAAAAGGATAAAATTACTTGACTAAAGCTAAATTAAAAAAAAAACTTTATATGTTAATCAGTCAGTTCAAATAAACTAATGCAAATGTTTTTCTACGGTAATTTAAAATTTAAAATACTGCTATATATAGTTATCTGCAGTTCTAATACTCAATTGTTCGCTTCTGCAAAAATGGTTTGGCATATTATGTAACCTCATCGCATTTTTAAAACCAGTATCAAATGCATTACGAAAATTTATTATCAAACAATCTAACCAATATTCTTTATGAATTCAGTAGTGGCTTTGTTACTGTTTAATTTTATATGGCCAGTTAATCTTAAAAAGTTAATTATTGTATCAGTTATTGACAAACAAATTATTTGAACTGCCCAAATATTCATTTTTTTATAAAGTTTCAAATGCTGGTTTAATCATTTGTTAATTTATATCTTCCTTTTTCTGCAGTTTATGCAATTCTTTAATAGAATAATAAATAATTGTATTTTAATACAAAATGTATAGTTCAAAATGTATCTTTGGACCATAGTTGAATTCTTTTATCTCATACAATTAATACTTTTTACATTACATTAATTCACGGGCGCTGCATAGTTGCAGAATATAAGTGACAGTGTAAATTAACAGCAACCGACATGATTACAAAAAAAAAAAAAAAAAAAAAATTTAAAGAAACCGTTATATAAAAACATACTTAATCGAAACCACACAAGACAATAACTTAAAAATTGATGAGATGTAACTTTTCACAAGTTTTAAAACATAAATGCAAACAGTTTTTATTTCGATTTATTTATATGCAATAACTGAATTCTCGTATTCGTTATATATAAAAATATGCGTGCATGTGTGTATGTATGGTGTACTTAACACGCATTTAAAACAAATTCTTAAAAAACGCAAAATTATTATTAAATTAAGTCAATTAATTAGAAAAGAATAACGTTCATTAAAGTTGAATGATGCACGATGGAAAAGTAAAAGATCAATCTTTGTTAAGTTTTTCGGCATGATCTTGATCCAGACGATACAAATGAACGTGTCCGCAGGCTACTTGGCACAGTTCACTCATATCTAGGTCAAAGTCACGTCCTCAGCGAGGCTAAAAAGGCACTTAGCCCGAAGGCGCACTATTCCTGCCTGCGCCTTCGAATCTGATCGCCTCCATACCAAATTTGAACTAAAAAATGAGTGAGTCTGTATTTATAAATTTGCAAATTACTTTGAAACAACAATACCATCGCTGTAAGTGTTATACAAACAAATTAAAAATGTAATGCATTATTTTCGTTAAGCTAATACATGACTTCATAAAACATAAATTTTTAATACAAAAAATGATAATACTTCGATCGTAAGCGCCTTCAATGTAAAAATCAAAAGTTCAAAATTATAAACCAACTTTAAGATAACGCATATCCGAATGCAAATTTATAAAGAATTGTTTACAGATGTGTGAAGTGAATTTCGTTTCGCTTGTAGTTGCACACTAGAAGAATATACAACAGTTTAAACAAAGATGTCAAAAATAAATTTTTTCCAATTTCAAGATTTTTAAATTCTGCTTTGTAAATCGATGTAACATTCGCAGGCAAATGTCCCGAACCACAAAAAATGATTCTAAACACGACTGAGCACGTATATTTAACATATCTTAAAGCTTGTAACTATTTAAATTTTTCGCTTCAACATCGAAATCGATGTATCTTCGCTAAAGATCTTTGAACGCATTTGTAAATGTGTTTTTAATATATATTAATGTTAATCTGACAGCTGACTATATCAAATTAATCTTTTTAATACCGAAAATGATAGTACGCCGATCGCTCGCGTCGACAGTAGAAGAATCAAAAGTTCAAATTTTCCCCAAATTGAAAATAACGCAAATCCAAATCAACAGTCTTATTAAGAATCGTTTATAAATGTGTAAAATAAATTTCGTTTTGCTTGTAGTTGCAAACTTTAAAAAATACAGCAGTTTAAACAAAACTGTCAAAGATGAATTTTTACAAATTTTAAGATTTTTAATTTCTGCTTTGCACATCGATGTAACATTCGCAGGCGAATGTCCCGAACCACAAATAATGATTTTAAACACGACTGAGCATGTATATTTTAAAGCTTGTCACTTTTTAAATTTTTCGTTTCGACATCGAAATCGATCTATCTTCGCTTAAAGACTTTGAACGCACTTGAAAATGTGTTTTTAATATATAATAATGTTAATCTGACAGCTGACTATAAGGAATTAATTTTTTTAATACCGAAAATGATAGTATGTCGATCGCTCGCGTCGTCCGTAGAAAAATAAAAATTCAAGTTTTTCCCCAAATTGAAAATAACGCAAATCCAAATCAGCAGTCTTATTAAGAATCGTTTATAGATGTGTGAAGTGAATTTCGTTTCGCTTGTAGTTGAAAACTTTAAAAAATACAGCAGTTTAAACAAAACTGTCAAAGATGAATTTTTACAAATTTTAAGATTTTTAATTTCTGCTTTGCACATCGATGTAACATTCGCAGGCGAATGTCCCGAACCACAAATAATGATTTTAAACACGACTGAGCATGTATATTTTAAAGCTTGTCACTTTTTAAATTTTTCGTTTCGACATCGAAATCGATCTATCTTCGCTTAAAGACTTTGAACGCACTTGAAAATGTGTTTTTAATATATAATAATGTTAATCTGACAGCTGACTATAAAAAATTAATTTTTTTAATACCGAAAATGATAGTATGTCGATCGCTCGAGTCGTCCGTAGAAAAATAAAAAATTCAAGTTTTTCCCCAAATTGAAAATAACGCAAATCCAAATCAGCAGTCTTATTAAGAATCGTTTATAGATGTGTGAAGTGAATTTCGTTTCGCTTGTAGTTGAAAACTTTAAAAAATACAGCAGTTTAAACAAAACTGTCAAAGATGAATTTTTACAAATTTTAAGATTTTTAATTTCTGCTTTGCACATCGATGTAACATTCGCAGGCGAATGTCCCGAACCACAAATAATGATTTTAAACACGACTGAGCATGTATATTTTAAAGCTTGTCACTTTTTAAATTTTTCGTTTCGACATCGAAATCGATCTATCTTCGCTTAAAGACTTTGAACGCACTTGAAAATGTGTTTTTAATATATAATAATGTTAATCTGACAGCTGACTATAAGGAATTAATTTTTTTAATACCGAAAATGATAGTATGTCGATCGCTCGCGTCGTCCGTAGAAAAATAAAAATTCAAGTTTTTCCCCAAATTGAAAATAACGCAAATCCAAATCAGCAGTCTTATTAAGAATCGTTTATAGATGTGTGAAGTGAATTTCGTTTCGCTTGTAGTTGAAAACTTTAAAAAATACAGCAGTTTAAACAAAACTGTCAAAGATGAATTTTTACAAATTTTAAGATTTTTAATTTCTGCTTTGCACATCGATGTAACATTCGCAGGCGAATGTCCCGAACCACAAATAATGATTTTAAACACGACTGAGCATGTATATTTTAAAGCTTGTCACTTTTTAAATTTTTCGTTTCGACATCGAAATCGATCTATCTTCGCTTAAAGACTTTGAACGCACTTGAAAATGTGTTTTTAATATATAATAATGTTAATCTGACAGCTGACTATAAGGAATTAATTTTTTTAATACCGAAAATGATAGTATGTCGATCGCTCGCGTCGTCCGTAGAAAAATAAAAAATTCAAGTTTTTCCCCAAATTGAAAATAACGCAAATCCAAATCAGCAGTCTTATTAAGAATCGTTTATAGATGTGTGAAGTGAATTTCGTTTCGCTTGTAGTTGAAAACTTTAAAAAATACAGCAGTTTAAACAAAACTGTCAAAGATGAATTTTTACAAATTTTAAGATTTTTAATTTCTGCTTTGCACATCGATGTAACATTCGCAGGCGAATGTCCCGAACCACAAATAATGATTTTAAACACGACTGAGCATGTATATTTTAAAGCTTGTCACTTTTTAAATTTTTCGTTTCGACATCGAAATCGATCTATCTTCGCTTAAAGACTTTGAACGCACTTGAAAATGTGTTTTTAATATATAATAATGTTAATCTGACAGCTGACTATAAGGAATTAATTTTTTTAATACCGAAAATGATAGTATGTCGATCGCTCGCGTCGTCCGTAGAAAAATAAAAATTCAAGTTTTTCCCCAAATTGAAAATAACGCAAATCCAAATCAGCAGTCTTATTAAGAATCGTTTATAGATGTGTGAAGTGAATTTCGTTTCGCTTGTAGTTGAAAACTTTAAAAAATACAGCAGTTTAAACAAAACTGTCAAAGATGAATTTTTACAAATTTTAAGATTTTTAATTTCTGCTTTGCACATCGATGTAACATTCGCAGGCGAATGTCCCGAACCACAAATAATGATTTTAAACACGACTGAG